ATTTAACTTACTTTTAAAAGATTGTAAATTATGTTTTTAGATGTTCTATTTCTTCTTACAAGCCTCTGACATAGTGGGTATATTTTGTATCAACATAATGTTATTATGGTTAAATTTGATGCCCAGGATTTTATAGTGCCAGGTTCGAGAATTGCATGATTGGCATGATTTAGGTTTGTATGAAATTAATTAAAAGGTTAAAATAGTGATTGCATAATTGATTAGAAAGTATTTAATAATTAATGATACAAATATATATTAGTAATTAATATTAGGTATCGATCCCATATAGAAAAGTGCCTAGCTTCATTCTGGTAATTACCTTGACACTTAGTGAATAAACTGTTGTCTGTGTGAATACATAGTATCTGATATAATACCCTGGTCATCTTATATATATTAGCCAAACAAGTGAAAATTGATAGTAAACCTATGAATATACAGTAGTTTGGGTAACTCTGTGACATAAGAACCTAGGTAGACAAAGGTTCTACTTGCCATAATTTGTGAAGCAAGGGCCTAGTAAGAGACCAACTCACTTATTGAGACATTAATTAGGTGAATTAGGTGTGTTGTAAATCTTGGAAATTCATGCAATCAAAGGTTTCGAGTGATCAAAGTCAAAGTCAAAAAAAAATAAATAAAAATAAAAAATAAAAGATCAAAGGATGTTAGTAGTAAAAAGTAGTAAATAAATGAAAGTGTCAAGAGAAGTAAAAGAAAAGTTGTACATACCAAAGTGGTAAAATCAAAAGAAAATGGAGAATAGAGAACAATTAATGTTGTTAGTTGAAAAAGTTATTGGAATGGTAGCTGAAGTCATGAAATGCTTGAAGGTGGTGCAAGGTGAACGATGTTGTCTTAGGCCTCGGCTGTGCTATGTATGTCAATGTAAAGGACATCTTGCCCAAATCAAATGAAGCATGAATATTGGGAACATGATGTAGATATACCTAAAAGTAAAAAGAAGGTTAATAAAAAGAATAAGCAGAAAGAAAAGAGAAACGACAGTACATATTGGATGATAAGATCGAGGATTTAAGGTTTGTAAAAACAATAGACGCGGCTGATAAAAAGTATCTGAAGGTTGAGTTTGAATGTGACATTGGTCAATTTGTTGTTAGGAGGAAGTCTATAAAAAAGAAGATTGGTGAGTGAAGTAACATGAACAAAGAAGAAAGAAAAGACCTATTAAAGATATACATTCCAGTTGAAAGGTTTTCCCAAGATCTTGACCATCTGATAAAGCTCGTTGATTTAAAAGCGACGTTCCTGTTGGAACAAGTAATTCGATGGTTCCCTGGTATAAAAATGAACGTGCTGAATGTTCTTACGCCTAACTGTAGTAAAAGAGAAATGTTTCATGTCACTGCAAAGTTAAGTATAGCATGTGGAATACACACAGAAAAAGGTGTTCTCTGTGATGAATTTTGCTGTCAG